GATTGACTCACAGCTGAGGGCCCGGATTGTATAGTTGCAGACTTCTCCCTTGGACCTGATGCTGTCTGAGTACCTGCATACAAACAAGTGTGTGTGCTTGACCAGTGGCCTGGGCTAGGTACCTTTGGACTTTGACTGTTGTGGTCACGAGAGTTGACCAAAGTCAACTGTCACACGTCCAGGCCCTGAGTCTTTGTTTGGGGCCCTTTTGCCCCTGTTTCGGCCTGGGCTGAGGGCGGCCGAGTTGGCCCTCAGTCTTTCCACGAGACATATGGCATGGGTTATTGCAATGGTTAGCGGAGGGCTGAAAATTTGCGGTTTTCGTCTTACCACCACTAGCAACACAGTGGAAAACTCAAAAAACAAACGATATGGGCCCGTAGCAAACATAAAAAAAAAATAAAAAAAAGCAAAAAAAAGGAACAAAAGAGCAAAAAAACAGTTGAAAACACTATGAACCCCAGCACAAAAACACTATAAAACCCTATGAAGCATTCAATGATTTCAACGATTTCAACGGAATGCTAACTCTTTCTCTATCAGTTCAGACATCTCAAAACTGGATGCACAACGACCCCTAAAACACCTACACATCACACAAAAAGAAAAACACGAAAAAAAGCAAAATGCAATAAGCCATGCCATATGTCTCGTGGAAGCTGAGGGTCATCTGAGGGCCTACTTGGCCGCCCTCAGCCCAGGCCGGAACAGGGGAAAAAGACCCCACACGAATTCAGGGCCTGGGCGTGTGACAGTTGACTTTAGTCAACTTCCGGTCCACCCAACAGTCAAAGTCCAAAGGTACCTAGCCCAGGCCGCTGGTCAAGCACACACACTTGTTTGTATGCAGGTACCCAGACAGAATCAGGTCCAAGGAAGAAGTCTGCAACTGTACAAACCGGGCCTTCAGATGTGAGTCAATCTGGACGACTGAGGGAAGAGCACCCGAGACCAGACAGCCTCGACAATTGTTACTTAAGGCTGGCCTCAAGTAAGTCAAGCATTCAGTCTTGCTATGCTGCTTTGACGCTGGCTCGACTTTGACTAGACGCCGGCTTCATGCTGGCGCGACGCTGGCTACATGCTGGCTGTGCACAGGCGTTGTGGACGACAACACAAGGTGGAGGCAGCATGCTGGCGCTTCTTCTGTGCGCCAGGCAATGCTGATGTGGCGCTGCCTCTGGTCTTGATGGCATGCTGATGTGGCACTGCCTATGGTCTACATTGCATGCTGACGTGGCGCTGCCTATGGACTACATTACATGCTGATGTGGCGCTACCTATGGTCTACATTGCATGCTGACGTGGTGCTACCTCTGGTCTACTTTGCATGCTGATGTGGCGCTACCTCTGGTCTACATTGCATGCTGATGTGGTGCTACCTCTGGTCTACATTGCATGCTGATGTGGTGCTACCTCTGGTCTACATTGGATGCTGATGTGGCATTACCACTGGACTACATTGCATGCTGATGGGGCGCTGCCTCTTGTTTACCGTGCATGCTGATGTGGCGCTGCCTCCGGTTTACCGTGCATGCTGATGTGGCGCTGCCACTGGTCTTCATTGACGATGTGGCATATGCGACCTATCTCGACTGCTGACGTGGCGCTGTCCACGCTGTCTACATGAGGTGACTGGTTGCGAGGAGGAGGAAGATCAGGATCTGTGGATAAAGGAGGTCGGGTACTCACCTGAGGTTGACGTCGTCACTAGAATCTGCTATGTCTTCATGGTCTTCACGAGATAAAGTGCCATGTGGCACTATCGTGTGTGATCAGGTATATACTTATTATCATTGTTGACGTTGTGAGGGAAGGAGCCTGGAGAAGGAGAGGGATCTGAAGGGATTATTACAGTGTGATCTTTCATCTTCTCCTTTGTCTATTCCCCCTCCACTCTCTTCTTTGATGGTAATGAGATACTGTTTGAGTTATCACTTCACGATTTGGAGACTCTGATACAGACAATGAGACTACTGATGTTTGACGACTTCTGAGTATCTGCCAGACTGGGTTCATTACAAAAACATCTGGCCACTGTGACAGCTTAACTGTGAAATTCGGCTGAAAAAAAAACACACCCCCTGTTAACCATATGTACTGGTGGGCATGGTTAATGCCAGCCATCGGTGGCAACGGTTGTGCTGAGAATGCTCACGTACGTCTTCCATGTAATCACCCATCTCCTCCCTACCGTTCGCGTCCTCTCTCTAGTCAAGGACAGCCTGACTCGTGATTCTTCTCTTATTCTTCCCTATGCTCTCAACTTTACCTCACACTCCACATGTGTCTTCCTTTGCTCCATTTTTCCTCTCTCTGGATGTCGTCTCCCTTTGCTCTGCCTCTTTTCTACGGTGTAGAACTGGGCTGTTATGGAACATGGGGGTGTAGGCAGGTCATGCTCATCCACATCAATGCGGTCAGTCCTGTGGCTGAGAGACAGCGTAAAGGGAGAGCCGAGAGAGAAGTAAACGAGCAACCATGAAAAAGGCGAAAAGAAAGAGAAAGAAAGAACCGCACAGGAAAAGACAAAAATAACATTTTCAGTGTGGCTCATGCTGTTTGCTCTTCGGAGTGCAGAAAGCACCCGGTGTTCTCAGTAGGTGAGATAAAATACACAAATGGTCTTGCGATCAAGTCCAATGAAAGTTCAACATAAACTTTATTGACACAGCAGATGTGACCTAAGAAAACCACGAAAACAGACTCTAAAATCGTAACTCCCACCTGTCCTTCATCCCAAAACTATCACGGTATCACCTTCTTACCTCCAACCCTTCCAGAGATATCTCCCGGCGCCTTGCCGGCAAAGAGGATGAATACTTAGTACTGTAGCCTAATATAGCCTATGAGCTACTCGCTATCAATTCTTTCCTAAGAGTGCAGCCACAAGTTTCCACATATTGTCACTTGTTTGCACGAAATTGCAAAGTGCCTTCCCAAAGAACTGGTACGGGAACCCTTTGGGCCGGTACTCCTTCAGGGTCAAAAATTGCTTGGGAATGCGGGACCACATCGTGGAGTTCTGATTGGCCCGATGGAACCAACCTGCAATCAGACTCGTTCTCAAACACACTTTTCATGCATGTAAACAGCAACGCAGCATACTGGCGACATGCGCCCACTCAAAACTCAGAGATATGGCTTTCA